GGGGGGGGGGGGGGGGGGGGGGGGGGGGGGGGGGGGGGGGGGGGGGGGGGGAGCCAATGAAAACAATTTTGAATGAAAAATTATGAAGAACCTTTTTGTCAACGCAAGTGCCTTTGAAAGATTGCTGCGGTATTGTGACATAAGAAGGGAAATCACCTACAAGAAGATATAAGACGCCTGATATCCCAGTTGAAAACATGAAATCCAGTTTATATTGAAAGTGAGTCAATTAGCATGTAATATACTAACCTGATTCATTGAAAAATACGCATTTCCCTTTTGGACAAATACTTTACGCTTTGCCACAAGATCGGGAACTTCCTCAAATGGAACCTCCAGTTTTTTCAATAATGGAAAACAAGGACCAAATAAGTTGAAAATCAACAAGAACTAATGCGAGGCTAACGACAAATCATAGTTGGGAAACCAAGAAACCACAATTACTAGTGCAATTCTAGCTAGATTTTCACAAGAGCCATCTAATTTTTTTCCTTCAGGAGTCATGTCATATTTGTCAAGAATATGCATACATATAGCCTACTTAATCTACCATCGTAGCTAATGCAATGGTATTGCCAGTATGATGAAGCAAAGAATTGTTTAATGGGAAAATGGGGAGGAACAGGAAGGGGCATAAGTATTCAATACCTTGTAGAATTTGGTGTCTGCAGCAAAAAAGAGAAAAAAAAATCAATTAGAGCGAAAACTCTTAAATAAATATTGCGGATATTTTGCTGGATATTGCCATGGCTGAAGTTCAAGGAAGCAATTCAGCAAATACCACTGGTTGAAGTTTGACCACCAATGGAGCGTGCTACTTGGTTCAATTTATCTTTTACACCCTGCAAAACAAGAAAAAAATGTTAAAAGTTACTGGATGAATACAAGGTAACCATGTGTTTTTGTGATTTTATAAAGGAGTGCCAGCATGATGCAATTGAATATTCGTGGTAATAAGCACATCAAGGATTCAAGGACATGGATAAATGAGCGATCCTTAGAAGCCTAAGGAAACCTTAAACTACCTCATATTCAGCAGTGCTTACGGCTTTGTATGGCAGGTCAAACTCGTCCAACAATGCCCTCTGCAGCCAAAATTGAAACCAATAAGAGATCAATGATCAGATGTGAAAGAATTTGATGACTGTAGTACTGGGAACAGAGCCTAATACTTTATAAATCCAATCACACCTGGGGTTCAGGAGCTTCATTTTGAAAACGATAGCAAAATAAGGCAGTCTCCATTGAAAGAAACCATTTGCTTAATTCCTCCCTATAAGACGTCCGATAGAAATAAAGAAGAAAAATGAAAAGGTGAGCCTTGCAATTAGAGAGACAAAACTATGAGGAGAATAGAAAGCACGGTATACATAGGCTTACTCTCTGCAATAAACAAGGCGCAGAACAAAATGGGAAATGACATCCTTGTTGACAACCTCCGATGCTTCCGGATGCATCATATTTGCCTTCCATAAATCCTTTACCTGTACCAGATTCCATTGAGTAAGTTCAGAAATGACATTTAGGGGGGTAAAAGAAAGAGAGGGAAAAGAAAAAAAAAACGTATATTTTATGGGCAGATAAGAGAACATGGAACCTTTTCACATACCAATTTCTCCATTTCGTCGGGTTTCTTGCCCCGGGACAATCCATCTGAAATCCCTTTAAGAACTGCATTGAGCAATTTAAACCATCAATAAAAGAAACAACCCATTTTCCCTTAAATTTGAAATGTTTCTTAAAGAAGATGGGTACAATGGTACATTCTCCTGAATTCAGACAATAGTGAAGATACCTAATTTCCAAAATCGACACTTCCAAAACCCAAGACAGTAAATGAATAAAGGCCCACAAAAGAAATGACAGTAGCACGGTTGAATCACGCATCTAAACCAATATCCAATTAAACCCGACTATATGGCAAAATCTCAAACTCCCTTATTATTTAAAACTAAGAACATTTTCTCTACTGCTCTAAATTATTATTTATGTTATTTTCATAAACAAAAACCCCTAGGAGAATAATTCGGAATTAGAAGTGTTACATTCCGTGTATGTATTTACGAGAGAGGGAAAAAGACCTCGGAGACGTTGAATTGCGTAAAGTTCAAATTCTTCGAGTTGGACTTCGAGATCCGGTGCCGAACGGTAAAGTGGGATTGTTGGAACAGCAGCGGAGGCAGAGGCAAATGAGGATTTCCTCTGAGGTCGGATGATTTCCATGTTTGAATTTCGTTCTTCCTTTTTTAAAAAAAAAAATTAAGTTTTCAGATATTGGATCTGAAGAGTGAAGGAGAAAATAATTATCAGTAGTAAAATCAGCAGCTGATGCATTTGTAAAGTACATTGGGGGAAGATGGGGAGGAGGAAAATGGCGGGAAATGGTTCCCACGCTTTTCTGATCTGGGCTTTTGGGGTTTATTTTGGGCTCACCCTCTTGAGGCCCCGCCCAAGGTTGATTGGATAACTTTACGGCATTTTTTCACAAATATTTTTGACTAATTACAAATTTTGTCACCAACGGTGGTGGATGCTAACATTTGAATTAGGTTACAATCAAACTTGCCAAAAAAAAAAAAAAAAAAAATTGGAAAAAACGTAAAAACATTCAATAATTTATTACAATTATTCTCTGCTCTGTTTTTTCATTCCTATCATCCTCGACATTAATTTTAATCGAAAGATCTCCAAAATTAGCTTCATCCACAACACCCATTTTATCACCAATTACGTCATCCCTTTCGTCTCCAAGTGGTATCAGAGCGTGGTTATTGGTGGATTTCTAGCCTGAAACTGATCAAAAATTGGTCTGACAATTACCAGAAAATCAGAAAACGAATCTGTCCAATTTTTCGATTTTTTGCTGGATCTGTTTTTGTTTTTTCTGGTCAAACCAAAAAGAGTTTGGAGAAACGAACACCACCATTGGACTCAGCAGGCAGAGACGGTTCATAAAGGTCACAGGTCGCCAGCTCGTTTCTAGCCGGTTGCCAGCATTGGGAACTCCGGCGAGAGAGTGGCGGCGCGTGCGGTAGTTTCCGGCGATGGTATCTTCAGGTAGTTCTCTCCGGACGACGAGACGGACCTTGTGGTGGTGTCTAATTTCAGTTTTGGGTAAAATTGTGGTTCTGAACTGTGTTGCTTCTTGCACGTTCGGAAGTTTTTAGTTTTTGGTGTTGAAGGTTGCAGGTTCTTCGTGATTTGGTTGAGATTTTTCAAAGATGAATTCGTTGAAGTATGAAATTTCGCTATGAGATCGCAATACAAGATTTTCGCTGTGGCAAGTAAAGGTGAGAGCTGTGTTGACGTAGATAGATCTTGATGATGCTTTGCTAGGTTTTGATAGGATGCCAGCAAACTTGTCTATGGAGGAGAAACAACGGAAGGATCGGAAGGCTTTAGCGCAAATCCAACTTCATTTATCCAACAATTTGCTGCAAGATATTTTGATGGAGAAGACAGCGGCTGCTTTGTGGCTCAAGTTGGAGCAATTGTGCATGACAAAGAGTTTGACGAGCAATTTGACTCTAAAGCAGAGGTTGTATTCTCATCGCATGGCGGAAGGAGGGTCACTGCAAGACCACATTGCTGTGTTCAAGGAGATCGTTGCAGATTTGAAAACGTTGGAGGTAAAATATAATGAAGATGATCTAGCCTTGGTCCTGTTGTGTTCGCTACCCAATTCTTTTTCGTCATTTCATGATACTATTCCGTATAGTCGTGACTCGTTATCCATTAAAGAGGTATATGACGCCCTGTTCTCAAAGGAGAAGATGGAGCTGTTGGTTGGAGATCCTACATCTAGGAGTGGGGATGCTCTTGTTACTCATGGTGATCGACGGAGGGATAGATTGAAGGTGAAGTACAGCAATGTGTATTGTTATTACTACAAGAGGAAAGGATACATCAAGAAAGATTGCGACAAGTTGTAGGGTAAAGGTGATTTACATGCAAGTCATGCGGAGCAATTAGGTAATTCGAACGAGACTAATATTGCTGAAAATTTTTGTGATGATGGAGATGTGATGTTGGTTGTATCTGACGGGGAATTCAAACCTGAGGAGTGGATTCTGGATTCTACTTGTTCGTATCATATGTGTCCCAATAGGGCTTTGTTTCAAACATATGAGACGGTGAAGCAAGGTGGAGTTGTCATGGGAAACAACCAATCTTGCCGGATTGTAAGAATCGGTCGGGATTGAGGCTACAGAATGGAACAGTGAGGACACTTGATCAGGTTCGCCATGTTCCAGACTTGATAAAGAATCTCATATCACTGAGTACTTTGGATGAAAAATGGTACAAATTTTCTAGTGGAGGTGGAGTCTTGAAGGTTCGAAGGGGTGTCCGAATTGTATTGGAGGGACGGAGGAAATCCCAATTGTACATCTTGCAGGGGAGCGCAGAACCAGTTTAGAGACATTTGGACAAGTTCAGTACCGTGGTGGACATTCAATTTGGTACAGTACCTCTCGAGTTTGGCTCTGGGTCAGTTAAGAACTTTGCTCAAGGGAGTTTTGGTGATTCTGCTTTGCCACCAATTTTAGCGGGTACACTGTGTTCTTGTAATGCCAATGGACTTATTGAGTGTAAGTACAGTTTTGGAGATGTCTGTAATGCTTTAGAAATCATTGAAGGTGACAATATTGGCAAAGGACATTCTGATTGTGCATTTGGTGTGGTTTCTGCTACAGGGTGTGCTTCGACCCTGTCCAGTGATTGTTAATTCCAGAAGGAATTTGGGAACCCGGGTTTGGGTTCGGGTGTTGCTTGTGGACGCCGGGCGGAGGAATATATTTTCGTGGAGAGTTTGGTTATTGTGTTGAAGAGCTTGGTTATTCTGATGCAGACGGATCATTTCTCAAGGTGGAGAAATTTTAGAGTTTTGTTCATTGCAATGAAATTTTGAGTCAAGGTGGAGATTGTTAGAAGTTTGACTTAAATAGAAGTCTAATTGAATTATATATTTCTACCTTTTTAGGACTCTTTTAGCGCTAGACTCGTGTGGTATAAATATGAGTCTCCTCTTTGAATGTTGTTGAAGCATCATTGCTGTCCAGTTGTAATTCTCTCCATATTAATAAAATTCGTCGTTCCTCTGCTTAATTCATCTTTTACTTTAATCTTGTTCATGGTATTTTACGATCTTGTATTATACTTCAAATTAGTGTCCATTAAATCTCAATTCTTGCATTTCGTTTCCACCGATCCCAATAGTAATGACAGTCACTTTGCATTGGTGTTGGAGAAAATTAGTAGAAAATGCAAATTAAGGTTCTAATTAGTTGAAAAACTGTTTGGGAAGTGAAGATTCACAGTAGATGTGGTAATTTGTGGAGAATTTATAGACAAATTTAGAAGCATTAGTAATAAGAGTGAGGAAAAGAGTTTATATACTTGTCCAGATTGTTAAATGAGAATAATTGTAATAAATTTTTATGACTTATGGTTTAATTAGATATTAATTTTATTTATTAGGTAGGAAAAACTCAAGTCAAATTATTGGAATTTGAAGAAATAAATGAAAAAGTGGAAAGAAAGAAATTCAAAATTAGGGGGACCAAAATGCAAACATTCAACAATTGATTTAGGCCATAAACGATGATTAAAAATCACAAGTAATTGGATGCAATTGGAGGTTAAAGGAATGAAATATAGTTCAAGTATGTTCACAAATCAACTTTATAGCCGAAAAAAGTTATGCACCAAATTTTTAGCCTCAAATTGAGACCCATATTTTGGGTAGCAAACATTCGAAATGAAAAAATTTTACATCTAGAAGAATTGTAGCTCTTTAAGTTATCTTTCAAATGTACTTTGAACCTGTATAATAATAATAATAATAATAATAATAATAATAATAAATAATTAAAAATAAATAAATAAAGAAAATGATTGAGTCGATTTAAATCATTAGCTCAATTAAATTAAAGTCTACTAAGGTCCATAAACCCAAAGGCCCATGTCATTTTAAATAAACAAACAAATAAATAAAATTATAATTACTCAATTATTCATTTTAATTAAATATAATTGAGTAATTACCAAAATTAACACGAATTTTTCCATATAAATAGGACCAATGGTCCATAAGACAGGGGTAGAAGAAGAGGTAAAAGTAAAGCAAGAAAGAAAGCAGAGAACGCAATCATGAAGTGCTGAAAAAATTTCAAGGTCGGAAGAAGGGAAGAAATCCTCTCAAACCTAAATTCGATAAACTCCAAGAAGATCAAAATCTTCTTCGAATCAAACAAGTTCACGCCAAGTCTGAGAAGATCAAAGTCTCCTTCAAATCAAGTTCAAGTTCAAACCCCAAAGATCAAGCATCGAATAAGTCAAGTTTCAACAAATCAAATTGTCAACAAATTCTTGAAGATCAGGATTCAAGCCGCGTAACCCCTCGTCTTCAAATATTCAAATCATTTATCAAGGGATTTTTGCAATTTTGCAATTATAAGAAGGTCAACATCACTTATATTTCTTAAAATATAATTTTTAACGATTTCCGTATTTCAGTACACTTGTCGTGTACAAAACCATCTCAATCAAATATCGGGAGAGAATTTATGACCAAAATATCAAAAACTACTCAAGGATGAAGTGATGCAAATCGGCGAAGCTAGCAAGACCCTGTTTTCACCGACCCGAGAGCTAGAACGTTGTGCGACGTGTGCTGCTTAGATACCTGCGCATGCTTGCAATGCCAATTTTGGGACAGGTAAAGTTGTTTGAATAGGGCCGCGTCGACCATGTTCGAAAGGGAGCAATGTGGCGCCTCTCCTATGGGGGACGCCACATCAGCTCCTCGGACAGACAGGCCAACGTGGCCTTGTGAGTCCAGCATGGTTCTTTTGAGACCAAGTTTGCATTCGACTTTGACTCAAATCCCTTTTCATTCAAATTCTTCATACGTTTGGCTTAATTTTTGGACTCTTATAAATACAAAACTTGACCAAATATTGGACTAATTGTTCAATTTTGTGGTTTTCAGAGTGTTTTTTTTTAAATATTTATTAAAACTGGAAAAAACAAAGTACAAGCTTGGGTGGAAGAAAAATCAATTTCCTCGAAATTGAGTCTTGGTTTATTGAAACCTTGTTAAAAATTTTATCAATTTTATAGCTACCAAACATGAATTTTAAATACAAATTTTCACCCCCACAATTTTTATCAATTTTTTTCAATTACACAATTTGTCAATTTTCATCAAACAAAGCTACTTTTTTTTGTCTCCTTCCAACCAATCATAGTTAAATAATGGATGACAAAAGTAAGCTCATTGCTAAGACCCCTTTCCTCAGATTGGATAAGGACCTCACTTTC